TTGTCAATTTACAGAAGAAAACAAATACTTCTGCAGCTGGCATTAAAAATTTCCCTCTGAATTTCGCATCGATTACGCCCTCAATCGACTGAAGGTAGAGAGCCTCGGGTGAACCCTTGGGTACCTGTTATTCAGCTACCTTTCCCAGAGTCGATACTACAGAGTTCGTTCACACCCGGCCCCAACTCCTTTCGAATTCAAGTTCTATTGTCACGTTTCACTCTGGACTATTGAACTGACACGTTTTATCTTCACTTCTCCACCCACTTGTGCATCGATCGTGCAGAGTTAAGAGGATATTCCTCTCTGGTAATGACGAAAACTCGTGAATGCATATTCATCAGCATTAGAAGCATTTCAAAATACTTCATAAAATAATGAAGAATTAATTATTAATCAATGATGGTTAATGGTGATGATTTATTATTTATTATGTTAAGTAGCGAAGTGTTGAAATATATAATTACTTTGTATTAACGCGCAGAAAAAAAATCATGGGAGATGTAGCGAATTCTATAGAAAATTCTATTGGATTTGTATTGCAGTTCTGTTGAAAATTTTATTAGTTTTTAGTCAATTCTATTGAAGAATTCCAGCTTTACAGGTTTTTTTTGTAGAAAATATCCAACAGAAAATTTTTTATAGAAGAAATCAGGGGAATTCCAACTTTCTATACAATTTTTTTATTCAGACGTCTTCTGTAGGAATTCCTAGACATGAGATTTCTCAGTTTTTTTCTCCTCCGATTTTTTTCCTTTCATTAACGAGAATCAAACAAAAAAATTTGGAAATTTTAAGCTGAGGAATTTCTATAGAAAATATGTCAATAGAATAATTTCTATAGAAAATTCTAATTCTATTGATTTTGAGCACCTGTGGAATTTCACAATAGAATCGAATAAAAACTATTGGAAGAAAGTTCAGTAGAAATTCAATAGAATTTTCTATTGAAAACTCTATTGAATTTTTTCTATAGAATTCGCTAAAAAATTCTATTAGTTTTTGTTGCTGCTCTACTGGACTTTTTAGACTGAAAAATATCCAATAGAAACTATTTCATAGAAAAAATCAGTAGACTTTCATCTTTCTGTACATTTTTGCCTATTGAGACGTTTTCTACAGGAATTCTTCAAAATAAATTTTTCAAGTGTTTGCCCTCTATTTTTTGCTCTTTTCATTAAAAAAACTTAAAAAAATGAAAATTGTCTATAGAAAATATTTCAATAGAATAAGTTCTATAAAAAAATCAAATTCTATAAACTTTTCTGTAGAATATTTTCTACTGAAAATTTCTATTAAAAAACGGACAGATAAGCTGCGGAATTTTTCAACAGAATCGGCCAAAGGCTATCAGGAAATTCAATAGAAATCTAATAGAATTTCCTACAGAATGCATAACTAATTAATTAGATTAATTAAATGCTGATGATTTTCTGTTTCAGGTAGAGTATCAGCCCTCCAGGAGAACCATCCGATGACATTCGAATGGAAATAGATTATTGTAAGCAGAATTACTAACAATAACATTAATTTCCCTTCGACGAAGATAGGCAAAAACAACGATTCCTTTGATATTTTTGTATAAAGTATACAAAAAATTCCGAAACCACGAAAGTTTTCATCAATGTCCACAGAAACCCGAGTCATTCCACACAAAATGGTAAATTACATCAATTAAAAGTCTTTCGTCATAAGTTGATATTCGTCTCATCAATTATATTATGTCAGAGAAATTTTATTCACTGTTATTAACAGCCGAGATAAAATCCAACAGTTACGTGACATACAACCGACACCGAAAATTAAATAAAAATTGTAGCCGATTGCCACCCAGACGCCAGCTCTACATTCCAATGAAAGAATCCACTGTATTGCAAGCGTTTAATCTTTCATCGGCGGATGTAACTACTGACTTACGCCTCAGTAATCATGCATTACAACGACAGGCGCCTTCTGCTCCAATAAAACATTGACATGATTTCAAAAAGTCCCAGTGATGACAGATGAAGAGGGGAAAAAATCAGTTAACAAAAACATTAATGGAAATGAGATTAAAACAAGTGGAAAATTGCTTTTGTCTTCGTATAGGAGAGCTATTCTTGAAAATAAATTGGCAATATGTTATTCTGTCGTACATCATTTATGTTATTTTTTTCTACTGAATGATATTTCTTCTTTAACCAATTGTGTCAGATTTTTCAAAACATTGTTGTATAAATGAAATGAGAGAATGATGTTATTGGTTTTTTTAGTCATCGTAGGACAATCTTTTTGCTTTCGAATGAAAGCTTTGCAATGCATCAAATTTAAGTTTTGGATTTTTTGTGTTATATCGACCCAAAAACCCAAAAAGTCCGAAAATGCTATTTTTAGACCTCGTCGGTACGTGTCTGTGAATGTGTGTACGTATGTGACAAAGTTTTTCTTCAATTCAGTAGCGAAGTGGTAAAACGGTTTAAGTCGATTTTGACTATTGGCCAGTTTTTAGTGAATATCTCGGAATGTAAGGAAGATAGCTAAATTTTTGTTAAAACCTTTATTGTAGCACTCAATTTTCGCTAGAAAAAAGGTTATTACGAAAATTTTGTTACCTCCTTTGGATTTGGAGATATTCTTCAAAAACTGAAGTTAGAGAAAAATCTGACAAAATTAGTTGAAAAGAAATCTTATTCAAGTTAATAAAATGGAATAAACGATGAATTATATATGATAGAAGGAAATGATGTGCAAAATAACAATTCGGAAGCATATTGCTAATTTAATAATTGCAATTTCCCACTTGTTTTTTTTATTCTAAAATTAGAAAAATTGGTATTTATAGGGATTAAATGTCAATTCATGTTGATGGACAGGGTTCACCAATATCTAAAACGTGAGGAACAAATAATGGATCGATATACCCCCAAAAAATTCCAAAACTTAAGTTTAAACGATGACAAACCTTCCACTCGAAGGCAAAAATTCAAGAATAAAAATAAACAGGCGACAGAAATTTGAGTTGCACATTAACATTTTCCGCAGGTATTTTCAACATGATATATGCGGAAGAAAACATATGCGGGCGCGTAATCAAGCTAATGGAATTTGAAATAAATTGCCGGGAGGAAAAAGAGAATTAGTCGCATGTACAAAACAGTTAGCGTTCGTCTACCTTCGGAGCATTGACGGTCACCTTAATTAGTTGATGATAAAACAACTAGCAATGTGGGGGGGAGGGGGGAGAAGTGCTTGGTTATAAAATGGATAAAAATAGGAATGGAACGAACGTTTCGAGCGAGCGGTTTTCGAATAAAAAATGGGAACAGACGGCGCACGCAAATTACTTGACCCTTTCGCGATAAATATCGTAAGAGATGTGAAGATTGTGGAAAAGGAGAAAAAATGTGAACCGGTCTAGACGTGAATGAGTAACTGACATCAACTCACATTTTCATTGATTCAACATTTTTTTCGAGCTTGAACACTTGAGATGAAAAGCTCTCGTGATGAATTAATTTAATGGAATGAAAATTAAAAAGAAATTGATGTTGAAGATGATAATAAAACGAATTGAAATTACACTATGAAAGATTGATTTGATTCAAATGCTATATTTTTGAAATCTCGAATTGCTTTTGGACTCGAAAATTATTTATGATTAATCCTTGATCGATGCACACACTTTTTAATGTCTGGAGTGTTTGAAAAATGTCTATCAAAACATCTGAAATTCCAACATTATTTTTTGCAGCGGAACAGTTCATTTTGAAGTAGAACGAAATAATTTCTTTTATTTATCAACCAACAATTCTTGACTATGAATATCTTAACATCTCTAACTTAATATCTTAGAGGTGAAGGAATAGTTGGCATCAATTCATATTTTCATTAATTCAACTTTTTTTTTAGCTTGAAACCTTGAGATGAAAAGCTCTCGTGATGAATAAATTTAATGGAGCGAAAATTAAATATAAATTAATGTTGAAGATGATAATGAAACAAATTTAAAATTACACTATGAATGATTGATTTGATTTAAATGCTATATTTTTTATATCTGAAATTGCTTTGGGACTTTAAAATTATTTATGATTACACTGCTAAAAATTTCTTGAAATTTCAGTCACAATGTCATCTGAATTTCCAATGTTGTGAGTTTCAATTCAATTTCAATTGAAAACGTTCACTAAATTTCTCATTCATCTTGAAAATTCAAGAAAATTTGATTTTTCATATTAAAAAACCATTGATTTTTCAATGAAAGCTCGAATTTTCAAATTCGTCGTGGAAATTGAATATCAAACATAATTAAATTTTCAATAGATTGAAAATTCAGAGAAGTTATTGGCTGAATTTTCAACATTATCAAAGTTTTTCAGTGCCGTATGGATTTGAAAATCGAGAATTACTTGAATATTCAAGAAATTAACTGATTGGTCAATGAAGAATTCTACAGAAATTTCATGTAACTTTATCGTTGTTAAAAATGTTTTCATTGTTAAAAGTTTTTTCACTTGAAATTTCAAGTGTAATTTTCTAACAGTGTAATCCTTGATCGATTCACACAATTTTTCATGTCTGAAGTATTTGAAAAATGTCTATCAAACATCTGCAACTCCGACATTATTTTTTGCAGTGGAACATTTCGTTTTGAAATGAAACAGAATAATTTCCCTTATTTATCAAACAACAATTATTGGTTCTGAATATCTTAACGATGAGGGAGGATCGAAAATAATAAAATTACTGTGCGCACACAATGTGGGTTACGAGAGATTTACAAGTACGGTAAACCCAGCTAACACCCTTTGTCTCCATTATCTGTCGCACGTCGCTTGCCACTTGAGTCCGATATCACCTGGCGTCGCCCGGTGGGCTCTCCGCCTAGGTGGCAGTCGTGTAGCGCCTTCCTACCCGCGCAGGAGCGAACACACGTACGCCGTCAGGACGAAAAAGCCTCACGTCAGTCCGAATTCAGTTGAGTTAAGTCCACTGTACTTGGAGCGTGTAGATAAGGGAGCTGTTGCCACCGTGTTGGACTCGGGGGATTTCCAGTGAGTCCGAGGGCCCTCACTCTCGGTTTATTATCGAAAGTAGCCGGGGTCGGGTGGCAGGTAAGCTCGCATGGTATCTTAATTGAAATGGCGAGGGTTGTCCGGGTATTCACGGAGGACAGTGTCTGCATTAGACTTCAATTATTGAGGGAATGAGAATGAAGACGCAATTTGGGAATGGTGTGGGCCGAACGGGAGGGACCAGCGGTCTGTTCGTACATTCCAAGAACAACATTTGTTGTTTATAAATATTGTTTTTTATCCACAATGCACATGAAATAAATTATTACATGAATAAATTAGTTACGATTCCAAACAAACGATTTTTCTGATGGAAAATTAATTGTTTATGAATAGTTTGATTTTCAAAAATTGCCATTTTAACATTATTACATCAATCTACTTCCAATAGTGAACTTTCTAATTTTTTTCAGATTTTTAAAACATTTTCTAACGGTTTAATATAGACCATTAAATTTAGACCTGTAAAGTTTAAATAATAAAATCATTGTAAAATCTACGAAACCTTGGGCTCAAATGAAAATGCAATGTTGTTGAAAAAAAATGGAATTTCATTGAATTTTCAGTCAAATTTCATTTTTTTTCTAACAGTGCAATTATTTTTGTAGTGTAAGGGTCAAATGGGGTCCGAAGGCCGCTTGACCCTCCCGAAATTCGCCCCCCCCCCCGTCAAATCAATTTAACCCACAACCTCTTAAACTTCAAATAGACTCCGTTCCAGAGACTGTCCATCAGCCCTACACATAAAAAAATTGAGTAGAAACAGCATCACAGGTCTGATCACATAAACAAATATTCACTGGCACGCACAGTACCTCCCATGAATATTTAACCCAATCAGCCCAGTGTCCCGAGTTCGGTAACCCCATGATTGCTGGAACCGAATCAATCGTTTCGATCTCATATCCGATTAATAGTGAAAATAGGTTACTATCTGACGCGGCGAGCACTTTTTACTCGTTTATGAATCATAAGGGATGGATTATCGCATCATCAGCGTGTATAATTCACCATGTGCAATGCTGCACGCTTACCCTGAATGCCTCTCTCTGTTGATCGATAGTAACTGACAATCATCCAACATTCTACTACATCGCTGGTTATTTGTCATCATTAGAGATTGGTGGGGGGGGGGGCGGTAGTTTACGACGGGAAGCCGGTCAAATTCATCCGATATTTTCACTCGCTAATTCAATTTGAGTTGCGGTATCGCAAGGTTGGACATTCTGTTGAATAAATTTTTCACGCGAAGTTGAATTCTTTAATTTTTATCATTCATTTTTATTTTTGTTTTAAATCCAAGCAAATTATAAATGTTAATTATCCTAGAATTTCAAATCAATTATTTCCATTTTTACCTTGGAATGGAAGATAAATTTTCAATTTTTTTCTTCCTTCTTTATTTTTATTTTCATGAATTTTTTGATGAATATAGGCTTTAATATGCTCTATTAATTAACACCAATTAAAATTCAATTTTTCATGCAGATTCGAAAAAATTGATATTTTTCCAAAAATCGATTTTTCAACGATCACTCAAAAAATTATCATCAAAATGGAATTACTTATGGCTCAAAAAACTGATAACAATACCCTCTTGACTCTATCACCATATGATGGGGGTCGCACAATTCGTTGTTGAGTTACAGCACATTCTTCATGCGATCGAAAGAGAAAATCGGTGTTTTCATGATTACTGAAAGAATCATCAGTAATAGCAATTAAATCAGGGCTTGAAAAGTATATTTCAATGCCTTTTTAATCAAGTTGAAAAATGGTGAGAACAGCATCATTGCTTATCAAGATATACAATACCGTCATGAGCTTTTTATATAAAAATCTCTATCTCTATTAAACTCAGGTACCAGTCTATTATGTCGAATACTTATTCATATTGATTCATGCTCCCGACTAACTTCTGATAGAACCTGGACTAAACTCTGGCTAAATCCTGAATAAACCCTGATTAAATCCCGGTTATATCCGAGTTTATCCCGGTGATTAAACCTTGATTGAACCTTGATTAAACCCGGACTGAAAACGGATTCGAGTCTTGAGAGGATCTGAATGTAGAATTATTCGACAGAAGAAATAATACGCAAAATTTTGATGACATTTCAATAGATGATAGTGCTATGTCATGAAAAAATAGATGAAGAAAATAGTGAAATAAGAATAAAAAAAGAGAACCCATTCGAAAGCAAATTACTAATTTATTAGCAACAATAGTCACACTCATTTCCAAAAAATGCAATTGTCCCCTTGTTTCATTTGTCCACAAGTCAAAGAAAAATGGTTCTGTAATTTTTCTCAGCAATTTCGTCATGGCTATGCTTTTCACTATTACAAGCTCGCAATTTCCCCATGATTTACCCCTTGCTCCACATAATTTTCCCAGAAATCCACGGACCTTCGGTCGCGTTGAAAATCGGCGGTTATCCCCGTGGGAATTTCGCCATACTCATCCCCACAGACGACCCCAAAAATACCCTGGCATTATTCGAATGTCATTCCAACATTATTCATGATGTGACGTTCCCTGAATATTAAACTACTAGAATTATTTTTCTTTCTCTGGGGAACCTAACGTATATAGCGCCCGAATATGCGTGCCGACGTCGGTACCACGCACGAAATATATCGTCCTGATAAAATACATCTTGATGGGAATGACTTTCACTTTGAGACATGAATTGCGAGGGGTATATTGAACAAAAGCAATATCAAACATCTCCCTATCAATTGAAAAAAATTACAAAACGGTAAAACCATTTGAGTCGATTTCGACTATTGGTCAGTTTTCTACCAATATCTTGGAATCTAAGGCAGATAGCAAAATGTTTATCATAACCTTTTTTGTAGATCGAATTGAGAGCTACAAAAAAGGTTCTCACAAAAATTTCGCTAACTCCCTTAGATTTCCCTGTATTTCCCGAGAACTCAGCGAAAAGCCAAGTCCACTTAAATTTTAATACACAAACGTCTTAAAAAAGCGACGAAAGCGTCTTAATTTCCGCTATTAGTTATTTTTCTAGTGTAGTCAACTGGTCAGGAATAAGTAGTAAACACACGCCCTATCCGTCCCGGATCAAGCCACCATCGCCGGCTGCCGATCACATGCGGCTCCGACACACATGCACAATTCCATAGATATAAAAATCCGTCGAACGTGTTTCGTGTCGTATTCTGGATCAATACCGCCAGTTTCACAGACTAGGCAGACTACCTGAGATATCCTCGCATTCCTCCACACGCCCAGACATCCCCGAAAAACCAAAAAATGGGCGGAGATTTGCCGGGTGACGCGCAGTCATGACCTTCCGCTCGTCAGAGCCCACCTTGTTTACCCCGATTGACCCATTCCGGTCCGCCGTTCCTCATAAACAGAGGGGAATCCCCGGTTTGAGTCGCACAACCCATGAGCCACTTCTGCCTCACTCCGGGATTGGAAATGAATCGGTCCCGTGACCGATCACCATTTAAGGATTCAATCCGGAATGGGGCGGAGTGGATAAATCACGAGAGCGATCCGTAATGTACAACTTTGGGGGATATAAACTGGGGGAAATGAGAGAGAGAGAGGGATTGAGGTTGGGAGCTGACACGCGCGACGATGCATTCACCCCGGAGACTCTTTTGCATAAGTCCTGTATTGGTTGAGAGGACAATGGGATGATGACGAATCATTCCTTCAGTGAATAACTCCATTATTAGGACATTATACCATCAGTCGGCCATTAACTTTTGACTCAATTGCGTCAAATTCTCAAACCTTGACAGTAAATTTACTTGATTTTGGTTATAGTTCAGGTTATGATGAGATTACAGGTTTGCACAGTCGCTATATGTTCCAACAATTTTTGTCATAACTACTGTGCTGATAAGTATGTGTTTTCGTGTTGTGAGACACCCTGTATAGATAGAATTGAATCGTCCTGATGAGAAGATTATGTAACTCTCGAAACGTTGACGTCAAATGCTATGCGTGGATGGTTTTTTTATTTACATCCTCTGCTTGTTGCTTAATTAAATTGCAAATGGTGGCTACATAATGACCTAATGATGGAGTTTTTCAACGAATCATTCTTTCGGTTGGAAAATGGACCACTGATACAGGGAGAGATCAAAGAGTTCCTAAGGGTCACATAAAGGGTTATATGAAGATATTTATCTCAGGATGTTTGGGCCTCTTGACCCCTTCTGACCCTCCACTTCTCTTCGAGATTATCATTTCACTAAAACCTGCAATGGATATCGGCCCCGACTCTCGTGTCGTCACCAATAAACCCAAAAATAATGTATTTCTATATGCAATAATAGTCTAAAACTAATTCAACAAAAATTATTTACATCAATCACGAAAGTTCGGGGAGACTATCATTGCCACAGTGTTTCCATCAAGGCTAATGGGCAAGGAAAACGTAAACGATCTTTTGCACATTGTGCCTCGGGTAACGCGCAGCTATAATCGACGACTTCTAGTACACCAGCCCTTGCATCGCGTGTCTTCATTCGTTTACGTACGTGCTTACTACAGGCCCATCGACTCACACCGAGTCCTGAAAATTCTGCCCCACAATCTCACTACTTCAGGTAGAGAAAAAAAAAGGATCCTTTATTCGACTTTCTTCTTTTACTCCGAGTGATAGCTGGGGTTCTAGTTGTGTGGAGGAGGCCATGAACTAGAACTAGTTGTATCTAGTTGTACCTGTGGAGGAGGCCATGAATGTTCACGAATATATTCCCCGGATTCGTCATCATCATTCGTGACTGTTGATTGTGTATGTGATTCTATTTTTTCCGTTTTATGAACTGCATGAGAAAGAATTACGAGTGTCCAACAAATCGTGCATCACTTGACCCTCACCACAATTCTCCTTCGCGAAATGAAAATAATATTCTCATAATTTTCTTCCGTGTGCACCTGAAACAAAATGAGACTAGGCTCACGAACGCCTCACCTCCCTATAATCGAATTACGAAGTCTTCACAGTGTCACATCGAATCATGCTCACCTCATCCAACCCCAGATGATGGACAATTAAAAACTCCGTCAGAACACCTAGTTAGAAACAACCCTAGTTTACGATTCAGCACAGCAATTTTAATTGGAACAATGTGAAAACCTTCACACTTAGATTGCAATGCATGTTTGAAAAGCCAGCTGGCTTGTACTGTATTAGACAGGAGGGGCCTCTGCGTGCATACTGTGAGTTTGCCCTCGTTGTCGTACAACGTCGTCGTCTAAGCAACCGGCTATTGTTGTAGTTCCATTTCAGATAAAATCCGACTTCAAGTGAATCCAAATAACTTTACAACTGCTTCCTTTTCCAAAAATTGATGTAATGACAAATGAATCTCATGAAAAATTACAGACCTTTTGGTTGTTGATCGCCAAATGATTTCCATAAGTCCTTCATCGCTGATATGATTACTAGATTGAATCAGCACGTAGTTACATTCATAGCTCTTTCTTGATGGATACCATCAGCAACAGCACTAGCTTCGATAATGATTACGTACGTAAAACCACTGCTGATCTAGGTAATTTAGATCGCATATTCAGATACTAAACTAATGATCTGGATTGAAGGACAAACTCCTGAGATATCCGGTAATACTTTCGTTGTTCGTGCGCAACAGGTTAATGGAGGAGACTGGTTCTGCTAGTTGAGATCAAGTGAACGAAGAACCAAAACATTTAACTTTCATTTTGATAGAGAACAATGGATCAGATGCAGCGACCTGCTGATGATTCTGGCGCGGGAAGAGGATCTCCCATGGTAAGGGCATGAACAGGATGAGTCACAATGATTCAGGGTGGAGTAATCCTGTCGGAGGCATAAATAAAAAAAGTTGAACGGACTAGTAGATTTATGTAACAAAGTGCAGATTCCCTGATCGATACCCTAGCGCTGGTGTGGTCCGTGTCAGGTACCGTTGAGACGTTCTTTCGGGACATCACCGTTTTCACATTATCGGTAGATCGATGAGCCAGACGAGTTAGCTTGGTAACTTCCCCTTATTGTCTGCTGAATATAATCGTTATTCACGGAGTTTCAAATATTAGTGTTTGTATTTATCAAAGTAACGTTTTTTACGGTTCAAGCAGGGGTATTAAAATTTCAAAAGACATTGAACACGAATATCTGCTGATTTATGTGATCATTCCGAAGCAGCAGTTTTCGTTTCTCGATTCTTTCTTTGTTGTGACGAAGCATCAATACGTTCCATATCCGCCAATAATCTGGATGAATGTGTTTGTACCCCAGGAATATGAATTTTTCAGCTTGAAAAACAACCCCCGAATTTTCCATCGGGCTTCCAGCCTCGCCCGCAGGGTCCCCCACCCCAGCGATATCCGATAAATAACGGTTCGGCTGGGCCAAGGCTGGGAGGAGGTCAGCCACCACCTAGCTTGCTACGTCTGGACAGTAGATCAACTCTGGGTGCGCCCACCGGCTCTCCCTCTCAGTTCCCCCGACCGCCATTTGGACCACCCCGTCCACCCGGCGCAGCCCCAGGTCAGTTTCCCCGAGGTCCCCCATCTCAAGCCAATCCAGGACAGATCCGCTTTCCTCTGGGATCTCCAGGGGTCCGGGGACCCTTTCCCCCTGGTCAGCGCCCGACCTTTAACAGCAATCAGGTCAGGCCGCAGAGACCGTCACTGGATCCTGGTGGTTCAGGTCAGCACAGGTTCCCTCCACCCGGAGCGGGATTCCCGTTCAACCCTGAGAATCGTTTGCCGACCCCGAGAGTCATCCCGGAGACAGTCGTCACCAATCCTCAAGAGGGCAATCCTGTTCCGACCCCTAGGGAGTCACCTGACACCAAATCACCAGGTCGTCCTCAACCAAAAAGCAGGATGGAGACAAACGGGCCAAATCTGGTGGCGAACCAACAAAACGACAAAGAGAACGTCGACTCGGCGACCCCGAAGAAGAGGCCGACCTCCCAGACGGGACTCACTGATGACGACGATGATGATGACGTGGTGATGGATAACGAGAAGGACAGCAAGTCCCAGAAATCGGCTAGCAACGAGTCCCTCGCAGTCTCGCCGGGGATCAAGAACACCCCGACTCCTGAACTTAGGACTCCTGCCAAGAGTGAAATCAGTGCTACTCCCAGTCCTGCGTCATCGAAAGCACCGACACCAGCTCCCGAGGAGGAGCGATCAAAATCACGACTGAGTGATAACGTTAGGTCACCTAATGACGGCGATAACGAGGAGGTGAGTGAGAAGTCTAGACCCCCAAGCGCATTGTCCTCCAGATCAGGCCTGAAATCTCCGACGAAATCAATCGGAAGGACCCTGGACCTGCCGTCACCTGGAGGGGGCAGGTCTCCGGAGCTAAAGTCCCCGGTCGTTGGTTTTGATAACGGGAGGCCGAGGTCGCTGACTGCGAGGTCACCCTCTCCGGCATCAAGCCCGGGGGCATCGCATTCGCCGAAGACCCCGGGGACTCCTAAATCAGAGAAGAGGACGACGTTTGCGGATGTGAAGGAGGGAAGTAAGACGGAGAGGTCGAGACCGGGAACGCCGGGGGTGAAGAGCAAACCTGGGACACCTGTGAAGAGCAAACCCGGGACACCTGTAAAGAGCCCGACCAGACCGCAGACACCGAAGTCTGGGATGAGGCGGTCAGCCTCCGCACGATCCATCAAATCAGGTTTTTCAATGATTGAGACTGAAATAAATATTATTACACGGTTGCGATAAGTTACATTTCATGGATGGTATTTCGGTCTTGAAATTGTACTTTACGGCCTAGGCCGTAAATTTGTTTTTCAGGATGGGAGAGAAGGCCTCCAGGCCTTCAGATTGTGAAGTCCAAAAGGAGTCCAGTAAAATGAAACTTTACCGCCTAAGCCATAAAATACGAGATTAGGGCTCCTATAAGTTCCATGAAATGCTACTTTTTGCTATGGAGTGCAAAAAATATATGCTATCGTATTTCGGACTTCTGCTTACAACTATTTCCATTCAAATGGTCGTCCGATATTTCTGTATTGGATATCTCATTTCCATTTTTGTAATTAATTTTCTAATAATTACAGATGGAGGAAGCGATAGTGGGGCAAACCAGATGACGCAAAATGGCTCTGTAAGTTCTGACGGAAAAACTCGGATTACGATTTCATGATTGCGATCAGAGTTATAGATTAGATATGATTATAAGACTTGAATGCTCATAAAAGCGAATGGACGGTATAAAAACGTCATTCTTTCAAAGACGAATGGTTGTACAAGAAAACATCAGAGAATATTTTCCATCGAAAATTTTCAGATCCGCAAACAAGTTGTCTGACGTTTTCTTCTAAATCCGCTCCTTCTTCCGATATATCGGAATTCAGCAATGGATAGAAAAATAGACTTGTTACGCTTTTAAAATTCGCGAGATAAAAATTGGCTCATTCATATGTATGAATTATTCATAGCCAACGACAAATGGTGTATCAGTATCTCCCACCAAGAAGTTGCCAATAAAATCAAAGGAAGGAGAGAAGCCAAAAACCGCAGGCTCACCAATAAAATCACCCAGCAAATCCGTTAAATCTCTGCCAAGAACGCCGGAAGCTGGTCCCCCCTCCACCGCTGACAAAAAGAGTAAATAAATTCCATAATTCCCAATAGACTTCCCCCAAAAATTGTAAAACAAATAACGTAATGTCATTGAACTGCACTTTGTGCTGCAGAAGTACCCATGAACAAAGTTCAAGTTGGCGCAGCGCCATCGCCGAATTTGAAGACCATTCGCTCCAAGATTGGGTCGTTGGACAATGCGAGCTACAAGCCTGGTGGTGGCAAAGTGAAGATTGAGAATAGGAAATTGGATTTCAGCAAGGCGCAGCCGAAGATTGCAGCGAAGAATGACAAGTACATGCCGAGTGGTGGTGACAAAAAGGTAGGCATTCAAAAGAGCTGTTGAAAATGTTGTCAATATCTCCAAAAGGAATAGGTTTCGGAAACAATATAAAGACCCACTTTTTGTAGAGAATTTCATGGGCTACAAACAAGGTCTTATGAGATTTTGGTCTAAACCCATTAGTTTTTGATAGATTTACAAAATGAGAATTGCGCTATTTTTGGAATGCTGCAGTTCGTTGGTTACTTTCCATGAATTACCTTTGATTTTACGATTTTTTTATTGACATCGATGTTTGCATATTCTCTGTAGATACAACAAGTGAAACTTCAGTGGAATGCGAAACCCAAGGTCGGCTCCCTGGACAACGCAACGTACAGGCCAGGCGGTGGTGATAAAAAAATCGAAACAGTGAAGCTCGATTTTAAAGACAAGGCAAAACCCAAAGTTGGGTCTAAGGATAATGCTAAGCACGTGCCAGGTGGTGGTACAATCAAGGTATGAAGGCAGTTATTGCACCTGCGAGTGCAGAACACATTGACAGTTTCTCAAAAATTTAATAGATTTGGAGTTTTATCGATAACTTAACGATTGCCTCACAATTTGCGGATATTTTCAGCATGACGATATTTTTATGGATGATATTTTCGACTTCCTAGTGCGTTATACTCATCATGAAACCGGCACACTGACAAATTTACCGAAACATTTATTGTCGGAAATTTCTTATACTGGCTCTTAGATATAGTAGACATTCCGTAGATTTTTTTTACTGTTCCATATTTGGTTGTGAATGCATATGAAAAAGTTTTATGCGTTTATGTCGAGATCTCAATTCCCCTAGTTAGTTTTATTAAGAACTTGATTACCGCAACAACCGAACCTTATATTCCCAAAATTTGACATGTTCTCTGTGAGTGGAACCTTGCATGAGGAATGCTGTTTCGCCCAGTGTTGAATCGAATCAAAAACCGAATAAACCGAGAGCAAAACTTCACGTGAGAAACTTCTGATGGACGAACTGAAAAAAAACCGACGATTTCTCAACAGAAACGACAATAAACACCGATCTTAACGAGCACAAAACCACCAATTACACAAGCATGAAAATTCAATAACAATATCATAATTATCATTTCCGGTGTTCAGACATCACCGATCAATAAGTCACCACCGGAGTCGCAGAGTGAAGTAAGTACACGTCCATGACTCGTTTTCTACCACTAGTTCCACGGAAAAGAAAGAACCCTGAAAAATTCTGCGACCGGCAGAATCCACTTCTTTCTTTTCCGTCCGAATAAATTGCGAATTCTATCACTTTGGCTTCAATTTCACGTATTAGTAAGTATGATAATGAGTAAAAGCTTCAAAACTATCGCATGACAGCTGGTTTTTCGTGACCTTTTTGAGTGCCTGGGCTTGATAGTTCTTACTATTAATTAAAATTTTCCTCATTTCCACTTTCATTTAAAATAAACTCTGAAACCACTCTCGACATGCGATTGAAATACTCTCGTTGCACACTCTACTCTCTGATTTTCAACTATTTCACTTCTAAATTTAAATTCTTGAGTGCGAAATTGTCACCAGGGGGCGGCGGAAGGGTTGAATGGGAGAGACGTGGGGCAATGAGGGTCAAATGGGAGAGGCAATCGGAGTGATCATGAGGGTCATACGATGGTGATCGTATGCATCAAAAAGTTTTGAGGGTCAAAAGGAAAAGAAGCGAAGTGATTACAAAAGTGAAAAGGTCTCAAGACTTTCATTTGACCTTCATGATCTCTCTTCTTGTCTCTCCCTGTTGACCCTTATGAGTCATGTGACCCTTATAATCTCAAAAATGGCTCCCTATCTTCGCTCTATCATCTCTCATCTGATCATACTCCAAAAAATCCTGGTCCTAAATCCTACTCGGGAGAGGAAGGGGGGTGATGAGGGCCAAACAGGAGAGTCTGGGGGGATAATAAGGGTCAATCGGAAGGGACCGTGGATTAATTAGGGTCAAACGGGAGAGACGGTCGGGAGATCCGACTCGGGAGAGACAGGAGGTAATGAGGGTCAAAGGGAAGAGATGGGGGGATAATGAGAGCCAAACGGGAGAGACAGGGGAATAAAGAGGGTCAAATGGGAGAGACGGTCAAAGTGATAATAAAGGTCAAAAAATCTTAAGGGTCAAAAGGAAGAGAAGCGAAGTAATTACAAGAGTAAAAAGGTCTGAAGACTCTCGTTTGACAATTGCTCTCCCTCTTCGCTCCATCCTCTCCCATCTGATCATCCGCCAAAAAATTCTACTCCACCGCCCCCGGAAACAATCTCCGGTCATCACAACAAAACAACAAAACAGTCCAAGAAGACTATAATCACCTCGTCCAAACCAGTCTGTAATTCCCAAATGTCACGATAGATTGAGACCCAGAAAATCGACATCAAGGCGGAGAGCAAGATTGGATCCCTGGACAACGTCAAACACAGACCCGGTGGTGGTGACAAGAAGATCTTCAATGATCGTGACTATCTCCGGCAGACTAGCTCGAATTCTAATGTCGAAAGTGCCAACGGCAGCGGTGCCCAGGTACGAATGAAGGCCTGAGTTCCCATGATTATCATCAATCAATCCATCAAAAGTACAAGAGAATTGTCGCCTCCGATAAATGCTCAACATTCACTATTATTTATTATCGCTCATTTGCTCTTCTGAGTTTTTCTCTTCCAAGCAAAATCTAGGTTACAATTATTTTGATCGCATATTTATTCTAATTGGCACGCTGATTACACTTTAACATCTGTCACCTGTCATCTCTGATGCTGTTCACGCTGCTACTAATTTTTCCGCAATTTATTTAACGCAATTTCAACCTGACGAACGATAAATCCATGTGACGATTTTTAGGAAATGAAAGGGAAAATGGTTCCTTCGATGATATTTGCAGAACAATGTCTTTATCATGTTCAAGTATTCCCGGACTATGAAAATTTCTAACAATATCTTGAAAAATTAAGGCTATTTCAGTATGGCATTAACAAAACATACCGATTGAATTCTACTTTCATTCACTGTCATTTATCTCGAGAACGAGTCATTCTAGAAGAAATGTCTAATGGCATTGTTTGATGAAGAACTAATTTCGGGTGCATGTGGGAAGTGTTTTTTTGACGAGGTGTGTGACTGGAAATAATTAATTACGAGTTGACGAAAAATCACGTTTATTGGTGGATCCAAGCCACTTGTTCGATGATAGTTACATTAGATTTCAATTGATGTTACACACAAAAAAACCTAAGCGTAAATTACGCTCAAACAAACCGTCTTTTACATTTCACTAAGTGCATTTCACGCTTAAGAAATGATGAATAACGATCCTAATAAAACGTATTTTACGATTGAGTTATGCGTAATTTACCAAAAAACGCATTTTACACGTAAAATAACTTTTTTTTTTTTCGTCGTTATATACGAACCAATGAACGTAAAATACGGAAAACAATTATCGTAATTTACGAATGCGAAACCGTAAATTACGTTTATGTAATTACGTAAACCGTAAATTACGTTTACGAATAATAAATCATGATTACATGTTTTTGTAATAGTAATTTATGCCCCAACTTCAAGCGTAAAATACGCTTCTTAAACGTCATTTACCTTTAGGTTTTTCTGTGTGTAATTAGTTAAATTTCTCAAAACACTATGGATTAAATGGCTTGATGATATACTGATTAGTCACTTGACAACTCTCGCTGATAATTGTCTTTAAAATTGAGGAGTTGATCTATTTTCACATAATGCTGCAATTTAATACACATACGATCATCTCGATCCCTAAATTTCTCCTACTTTCGGGGGCTTTGCGATCCTGAGCGCTTACCCGAAGGCTCCCGATGGCGCCCGAAGATTGTCGACTGGACCGACCGTTTGACTGATAGATACATAGCTGCATTTGAAACAAACATTTCAGTAGAGCAGGAAATTTCACACAAAAAATATTGTACCGTAGGAATTGAAGGTGTAGTGGGAAAATTCAGTTCGCTAACAAATGCGATTTCATAAACTAATCACACTGTATCTGAAAGTCGTTAGAAATATGTACAAAAGTAAAGATAGAAGTGATCCAGTATGTCATGATCTTTGGATTCGCAAAACAACCGCATTCCGTAAACGGAGTAAATCAGAGATATACGTGTGACACGATGAGTGCGAGTGGGACGGCGCGAGGGGTTTCGTGCTCCTGTCAATCATCTTCTCTCGGTCACGATGGTCAGTGCGTGTGTGTATGAGTGTATATGTAGGGAGCCGCTACAGTACGGCATTTTCTCCTAAAATTACTCATTCTCGAGACAATTTGACAGAAGAAAAAATTTTTATTTTGTCACAGAGCCCAGTACCGTCCAACTCATTCACCGACGGAAAGAATGGCCTGCCAACATCGGACGAGAATCTCAACCAGGAAAGCTAAATCCTCCCCCTCCACCCGCTTTCAAGTGCCCGCTTTTTGAGCAAAAATAATTGCGTTTTACATGAAATAATTTGATTAATAAAGGAAAAATGATAAGTACGATGAAGCCAGAGGGACGCCTCGACTATGACAAGAGGTTCACAAATTAATAATGATCCTGCCAGGCGGATCATAATCACCACCATTGCCATCACGTCATCGCACTAACGCATTTTAGGCAATTTTATTTCCTTGGAGTTTAATCAATCACTAGAGGACCTTTCGATCCTGGTGGGAGACAAATGTTACAATGAAGTGTATTGTGATAAACTACCCAAACATATAATCATAGAGAGAATAATAACTTGGAAATTTCATCAGCGAATACGTAAGACATGTGCAGTAGAGGATTTTTTAAATATTTTCACTCTAACCAATTTGCGTTATTCGATGTACATAGAGATATCTATACTGATGAATGATTACTGTTCTTTTTGAGGGGTGTGTGAGTCTTCAGAGGGCATGATCACTCCTCAATTTTAAGCATATTTACGTAGATTTGGACATTTTCAATCATCAAATTTTTTAATTTAATTTCACGGAGAAAATTTGAAATAGACATTTCCCAACATTTTGAATGATTTCATGACTTCAAATTTGGTTTGAAATTCGTGGGATATCGATTTTGAGGAGTGATTTGCCTTCTTCGATTCGATTGACACTCATTCCATTGATATTTCAGAGAGAAATACAGAGTACTCGTATTATTGTAGTTTGTGTAGATATTGTGCGTTGAGAATTATCAAAAGAGGAATGTTAATCAACTAGAGGAGCTGCTCACACTCGAACAAGTGAGACCATGATTAAAAATGTAATTGATTACACCGGATTAGTGCATGGTGGGGCGAAATGGACCTGATGAAGGTGCGAGTAATAAGGCTTGTGAGAGTCATGAGGGTCAAATGAAGGGCAGTAGAGTCATGAGAACCGAATAAGGGTCAATCATGAGGGGTTCCACCCACGATCGAGTGAATTTCAATTAATCACATTGATTTCAAGTGATTCAACTCCTCAATTTCGAGAATATTCAAGTAGATTTGGACATTTTCAATCATCAAATTTTTCAATTTAACTTCGCGGAGAAAATTTGAAATAGACGACTTTTCCCAACATTTTGAATGATTTCGTGACTTCAAATTTGATTTGAAATTCGTGGGATATCGATTTTGAGGAGTGACTTGCCCTCTTCGATTCGATTGACACTCATTCCATTGATTTTTCAGAGAGAAATACAGAGTACTCGTATTATTATAGTTTGTGTAGATATTGTGTGTTGAGAATTATCGAAAGAGGAATGTTAATCAACTAGAGGAGCTGCTCACACTCGAACAAGTGAGACCATGACTGAAATTGTAATTAATTACATCGGATTAGTGGATGGTGGGGCGAAATGGACCTGATGAAGGGCATTAGAGTCGTGAGAACCGATCAACTGATTCAACTGTGAAATGGCCCCTCTATTGAGTAATGAAAGGGTATCACAATTTTTATCTGTCTGTCTTCACGAACTAGTTGAAGAATAACATTAATTTCCAGTGGCCCACATGTACACACATTCTCCCTAGATGTTAAAATTTTAATTATTAAAATCCACAAACATACACATTTTATCGCTTGATGGGTTTCGATTACGATTGAGAATAATCAAACACGTCATAACATGCGTTTATTAAAGACTAATAATATTTAATGATAGAGATATCACGACTGTGTCTACACGAGTTTATCGTATTCATTAAACGTAATAAATAAATAATATTGGAGAGTAATTATACGTAATAGAGCTGTAACACGAAACAACAGAATAATGACAAGTGTAATTGCCATCAACATGTATTCTGTCGTTGAACAACATTAATTAGGGATTAATTAATTACAATAATATTTTTGTTTCTAAATTTAATATCTGCACTTATTATTCATGCACCCTGTGATTATTATTGTCTTTGGAATTTTTCTCCGCAGAATTTTAATTATTTTTTAGGGTAGAGTTTTGTAGATGATTACAGTCAGAGTAACCAGGATATTGTGCACAGCGTTTCTTCACCTTCACGTTGAATTACAAGCCGATTTTTTGCTATTGAGCATGTTTGAGTGGAAGAGTGACTTTGGGAAATTGATTTTCAGGCAGGAATATGTGTTTTTGGGGTTTTTTCGTAAAATGAATCAAGAATTTCATGTGTTTTTGTTTTGATTTTAGGTTTCAATGAGGAATTTGGGGAAGAGTAATGCAAAACTTCACCATTTATTGTTCCCAATTTGATTGTTTATTTCATGAAGTTTTGGGCGAAAGAGTCAAAATTGAGATTCAAAATCTCATTGAATGAATGAGATATTTTTTAATTATTCTTCCCAGATTCCTCATGAAACCATATCTGTAGCGCTGAATTACAATTTTTTTAAATATCAGTAGAAGTCGTAAAACGATTTAAGTCGACTTAGTTCCAAGCTGAGTTTTTGAGGAATATCTCCGAATCTAAGGGAGATAGCGAAATTTTCGTAATGACCTTTTTCGTACCTCTCAATTCGCTCTACAAAAACGGTAATTACAAAAATTCTGCTATCTGCCTTAGATTTCGAGATATTCATTGAAAACTGAGCAATAGTCAAAATTGACTTGAACGGTTTTTACATTTTCAAATTTGAACGATCAATTTTTTCCATAAAAACCCTGATGAGTAATGATTACTATTCGGGTGAAAGTTCTGTTTTTCAGTTCAATTTATTCAACCGTTTATAATTCTTCATTAGAAACGATTTTACTAGTTACTTAAATTAATAAAGTAACAGAAGATGATTTTCTTTCATGTCATGTAGTCACGTTCTGTATTCTCAAAAAATCCCCAAGACATTATTTTCTGTAAATCAATTTTAAACCAAGAAATCCCCCACCCGAACATCTTCAAATCACCACCAGCATCACAATAGTAACGAGATTTTGAATTACAAAGGTCAGTCCGCACAGTAATTACTCTCAACCCAAAACGTCCGCAAAAAATTGAAAAAAATCTTCAGATTCACGTGAATTTTCCTAAAAATTGCAGTCAGAGAACGGATCAGAAGACTCGAAGAGGCCAGAACCGAACCCCCCACCTTCGACCCCAACGAGAAGTCGTCCATCCTCAGTGACATCACCAGTGACACCACGAGCTCTGATCTCCAGCCTTCAAGCCAGGTCCCCAGACCTGCCGAATCCGAAGAGAACTCCCACCCCAGCACCGGAAATCACCGAGAAACAAGAGTCATCCACCCCAAGGGCTAGAACCCCTCGGGAGTCTCCAGTCTCTTCAAGACCCCCGAGCAACCTAGACTCCAAGTCGTCAGACAGCTCCAGGAGATCTTCTTCGGGACTTCACCTCCCGAAATTACCGAATCTGTTAGCTCCGAACGTATCTCCCCCTCAGAATTCAGATCCTTCAGAAATCAAACTTCCGAAACTGGTCGAGAGTTCAAGTTTATTTAATCGCACGAATTTAACATAGCGACACTAATTACGAGACATTTTAGAATATATGGAGAAGGAGAATGATTCAAAGTTGTCCCTGAGCTTTAGCAACTGGGAAATGGGAAAATTTAAACGAATTTTTATCGGAAATCTAATAGAAAATGCAATAATTCTAGCTGAGGTGGATGTCCCAGTATCAGACTTTGTTCGAGTGGTAGTAGGACAGTTCATCCCCGAATTTTCTCGTTCTAGGCCATTTCATCCCTTGTCCTTTACATTTTAGGACATTTCATCCTAGGGTTATTTCATCCTTATTTTGGAACGAGAAATCTTGTGATGAAATTTGATATTCTATTTGATTAGTTTACTCGCATTCTATTCTATTATGACACAATTAAGATGAAAATTACCAAAAATTTGAGGAAAATTGAAGAAAATAAATGCATGTTTAATATTTTCTAATGAACAAATTAACATTGGAATTTTTTGTGTATTGAGCGATGGAGATAATCCGTTTGTTGTCCTTTATTTTCATTCTGCCGTATTTGATTCTGGTAGCTCTGTCGTCTGTACATGTGTGGGATGAAATGTCCTAGGAGGAAAGGTCGATGTTGAACAACAACTAGACTTGTTGCATTTTGCTATAGAATTTTAATAAAAATTCATTCAACTTCAACTAGTCACATGAGCATTAAAATTCGAGAGTAACTTATCACCGATTTTTCTCTTTACATAAATATAGCTGGGATAGATTCAAGGAGAAAATTCATAGGAATAATCACGTGAATGTCGAGGATTGGTTCACAGATATAATTTCACTATTTCGCATTCCTAACTTTTGGTATAAAAATAATCTTAACATTGGTAATCGTAACTGATAGAGAAGGTAAATGGTTCTGATGTGGAACTGAATACTTAACGAACTGGTGAATCGAAGGGGTTTCAGTCTTTCTTTGGCAGTATGGGGGGCACTAGCTTGACATTATTGAAGTAGGGATGGCTGAGGGCTTTCATCGCTGATATTCGCTCACTCGGGTCGTATGTCAAAAGTTTCTGAAACATGCAGATGGTGTTGATCTCCTGAGAATCTCTTCAATCATTAAATTTGAAAGAATTGAAAGTCTATAAACATTCTTGGATAATCCCAATTTTTAGAATCATGATTTGAAAAAATACTTTCTTAATTCAATCTATATTACCCTCTTATAAATATAAATAATCAATAAAATTTTGTGGATCTTTGAAAATTTTCGTTGTGAAAAAGCTCAAATATAAAAAAATATTTTTTCGTGGAAATAAATTGTTCAACTAAAAAATTGATTTTCCATGAATTATTTATGCTTCGTAGTTATTGGCCTCTGCGGTCAAAGCTGGCCTCCCTCTTGATTTTTATCTAGAAATTATTTCAATTCAATATTCATGTGGTTTTTTAGGTTAAATTTGCCATGTGTACTGAGTTAATGTCGGTGGTAAGGAGCAATATGTGGGCACTTGCCTTTTAGGTAATAGGCTTTTCAACTTTTTATTGTTTAGTTTGATTTGGTTTGTTTGTAGAGATATTCGGTCTAGTCCAAATGACTGAATCAATTTTTATCATTTGGACATAATAAATTTCATCACCTTCAAATCAGCAAGTGACGCAGAGGCAAATAACTAGGAAACAATAAATTATTTATAAAAAAGATTGTAATCTCTAGAAATTGCAATTTTTCAAGTCTTTTTCAACAGCTGAAAATGGAGAATGGAGTGGAGGATCAGGTGGAAATTCAGGTGTTGAATTAGGAATTTCAACAAAGATTTCAGTTAAAAAAGAAACCAAAGTACTTAGAAATTCTCAAGTATTTTCAGGCATTAAATGTGAAACCTTGTCATAAATAAATAGTACAGATCACTAAAACTTCACTTAAAAGAACTTAGAATTTTGAAAATAGAGAAATCTGTTACCTTTTACAAAAACCAATTCAACTTAAAAAATTGATTTTAGATAAATTATGCAGGAAAAAGATTATGATCTCCTAAAATTGCAATTCTTTAAATCTTTTTCAACAGCTCAAAATGGTGAATGAAGTTTGACAAAGAATAGAATATTTGTACATCCAAAAATAAAGAAATGAAAACAAACCGAGAAAAGGTCTTTGGCATCATTATCAAAATTCGGGACAACTTCGTCAAGATTCCTGGGGTCCCACTGTGGGAACATTGATTTGTAGTCAGGAAGTTGAGAGACACCTGGCCATATCTCCTCGTCTGGAGTGCCAAGTGTCCTAAAGATCCTGAAGAGCTGATCGATCTCAGAGTCTCCAGGGAATAATGCTCTCTTGGTGGCCTTGATGGAAGAAATAAATAAATTATTCACAAATAAAGTGTTTGAAAAATTTCTCGAGTTTTAATTGCCAATTGATTGTCACCATCTCCGCGAAGATGCACCCAAGACTCCAGATGTCAACAGCATAAGAATACAGTTTAGTCCCGAGGAGGATCTCAGGTGCTCTGTACCAGAGAGTCACGACCTCGTGTGTGTACATTCTCATGGGCACCCCAAATGCCCTGGCAAGTCCAAAATCAGCGAGTTTTATGTGTCCCTCAGAGTCAATGAGCAAATTCTGGGGTTTCAGGTCTCTGTGGAGAATTAAATGGAGATGGCAGAAGGATATTGCGTCCAGCAGCTGATGGAGATAACTCTGGAGAAGAAAAATCACTAAATTTTTCAAGGGAATCAACAGCAACCGCACTCAATTGGCGAATGCTCGGAAATGGTAGAGTGATATTCCACGATTTCTCTTTCATTTTCAAGGGATTCTTTCAGGCTATAAAATGAGCACTGACTCGTCCAAATCGGATCGTTTGGTCGGGAGATATTGGGGATTGAAGACGGCTTGTTTTACTTCAGTCTCGTCTAGAGGTTTTTATGAAAAAACCGATAGGATTTAATTAATAAAGAATTAATTTCATACTGAGAATAATTTTTGGTGAACGTTTCTGAATTCTGAACGAGATGATGAATTTATCTATGAAGGGGTGGGGAAAATAACAGCTGGGGAAACTCTTGGGATTTAAAAAAATTCATCGAGATCTATTTTTTGCTTGAATTTTGGTTTTGAGGCTTCAGTACCTTGACAAGAGAATTCCAGTGCTCTTGATTGACAGTACAGGTTTTAGCACAGTCCAGGAACTTCTTAAGATCCTGCTGTAGGTACTCGAAGACAAGGTAGAGGTCCTTCTCTCCGTTGACAACGTCAAAGAGCTGTACGATGTTGGGATGTGTCAATTGTTTCAAGAGTGATATCTCTCGTATTGCTGTGGATGGAACTCCTTCAGCCTCTCTGATACCAAATCCATGAGATAAATCACGTGAAACCCCTCACATTCGAGAATATTTTGTTATATTTTAGGTCAACAAACCCTTTGGTTCCAACAGAAGCAGCAGTGGTTGAAGAATTGAATGAATAGAGAATTTAGTTTAATGGCAATTTTTTGAGTGATTATTGAAAAATCGATTTTTGGAAAAATATAAATTTTTTCGAATCTGTATGGCAATTCGAATTTTAATTGCTGGGAATAAATAGAGTTTATTAAACTCTATATTCATGAAAAAATTCATAATATTCAATTGATCTCTTACACTGTTAGAAATTTTTTGAAAATTAAGCAATAGTTGCACTTGAATTCTGAACGTTGTGAATTTGAATTTAATTTAAGATCAAATTGTTCAATGTCTCATTAAGGCTGAAAATGCAGGATAATTGGTTTTTCCATATTAAATTATTCCTGATATTTCAATGACATTAAGAATTTTAAAATTCATTCCGGAAATTAAACATCACATCCAACTGAATTTTCAGTGGATTGAAAATTCAGGAAAATGGTTGCTTGAATTTTTAAATTATTTAATAATTTTCATGATCATGTGGACCTGAAAATTGCAATTCCATTGAATACTCCAGAATGCAACTGATTTTTCAATAACAAAATACATGAAAATTTCGTGTGAATGAGTAATTGTTAAAAATTTCAAGATTTTTTACTTGAAATTTCGGGAAAAGGAGAAAAAATAGCACACACCTACATCCATAGGGGAGATTGGGGTAAAACGGACACTTTTGACTTTTTTTAAAATGTTAATGAGGGGTTGAAATGTTGATAAAATTCAATTTTTTTTCAATACTGAGAACAATTGTTTCCCTTTGTGACGAGCCTAAATTGAGCTCAATTGATCAATTTGTTTCTGAGTTATGAATAATTTAAAAAAAAGTCTAAAGTGTCCGTTTTACCCTACCCACCCCTACATACATGCATACCGACACCATCTAAAAATCGAATATTCCGATTTGTTAGACCCCATTTATTGACCCTACCACGAAAAATTAGAAACGTAAATTTGAGCGATTGCAAAGTTTCCACTCGTAAGAAAAAACCACAACCTTTCGAACAAATCGTCACAATTATCCCCTAGTCTATTCATAAAAATTAAATACCCTAAAACCGCACACATCACCACAATAACAACAAAATAATAACAAAAACCAATGAATGAACTCACGTCTCCAGTCGAATCCTCTTCAACGCCACGAGTTTGCCCGTGACTTTGTCCCTGGCTTTGTAAACAACTCCATAAGTCCCCTCCCCAATCTTCTCTATTTTGAAGAAATTCTCCATCATAATTATCCCAAGCCACTCGAATAAACCCCAAACCCAGAAATAAATATTCTCCACGTGCTTGTCAACCCAACTCCCATGCAATTTCAACCGAGTCAGCGGCCATTGAACCTCGAATCAAGGTTAATAACGCATTCTCGCGCGTCAACTACTCCACCGTCTGACTCACAGTTCCCTTCATGACCCATAGAGTCAGAATGGCGCTCGCGCCTCTCGCCCCTCCGCGCAACTACTCAGAAGATTTGGGGTGGTGGAGGGGCCGTTCGTACTTCCCTCCTTCCACAACTGTACACATCCACGGCCATATTTATCTTGTCTGACACCTCTGCTACAAACTCTCGGTCTACACTCGGGTTTTCAATTGAAGGCCCGAGTTGTAGACCCGAGTTTGTAGCAGCGATGTCAGACAAGATATAAATGTTTTTTTGGGCTCAAATGAAAGAGCGGGTC